ATACTTGTGATGAAGGTGGGAAGTCACTTCTTTATATATTTCTTTTCTTTTTCTTTACTATGGTCTTACTTTTTTATTTCACTTTTTTCCTTCCTTTCTGCACCTTCTACTCTTCATTTTTCTATCCTTTTTTTAGTTTGTATTCGTTTTTACTGTTGTCATTATAGTCGTTAATAACATTACTATTAAAAAGAAGGAGCGTGTCCAGAATGCAGCGGCAGGTGGATTTTGGCCATGCTGCAGTACGCCCAGGCAACACCATTGCTATGTGAGTTGCTGTGGCTCCCGGTAGGGCTCTGCCTGCAATTCAAGGTACTGGTTGTTATCTTTAAAACCCTACATGGCATGGGACCAGGTTACTGGCAGGACTGCCTCTTCTAGCAGTATTTGCAGAGTGGGTCTGGTATCTTCAGGTATCCTCATTGAACAAGGTCACCTGGTAGGCCCCAGAAAGCAGCCTTCTCTGTCATGGCTCCTGCCCGAGGGAACAGCCTCCCTCCTGAAGTATGGATGGCCCCGAATCTATTGTCCTTTCGCAAGGCTGTCAAGACCTGGCTGTTCCCCCAGGCGCTGGAGCTAGAAAATTAATTATGGGGACTGTAATATGGGTAGTTATGATTAGTGGTTTTGTGATGTTACAGTGTGGTTTTATCTAGGTTTGTTTTGTTTTTTTGGTTTAATGGAATCCCTTGTTTTCATTTTGCTCACCACCCAAAGTTTCTTAGATAGATGGGTGGCCATGCAAATTGGATTAATAAAATAAATAAATCCTGCAGGATATCATACACATAGTCAATGGCTTATGGGGTTTTTATCTGAACCCAAGGCAGCCATTTCTAATTCATGCTAACTGAAATATAAAACTAGCAGTTAACCATGGTTTCAATTTCTGGTTAATGTATCTGGAACTAGTGGTAAACCTAAGATTTGGATTACGTGCTTTATCTTAGGAAAACCACTGACTATGGTTAATAACAAGCCAATAAGGATGTGTATGAGAGAGGGGACCAAGCTCTTATTGTGTCATAACTCACATGGTGGGGGTCTGTGACCTAAGACCATCCTGATAGTTTGGACTACAACTCCCACAATCCCTCAGTGACCATGCTGGAATGAGGCTTATGAGAACTGTAGTCCAGAACACCTGGAGGACATCAGATTGCCTAACTCTGCCTTCAGCAAGCGAGTATATAGTAGTTCTCTCAGAAGTCAGAGATGATCGGTGTGAAGTCTGCCTAGCTGAATATTCCACTCTTTCGATAGCCAAGATTCATACTGGAGGCCCGCAAGCAGGACACAATAAGTAAGCTGCCACGTATTTTACAAATAGCATACAGCTATATTAATTACTCATCTTGATATCTGTATCTTCCCTTGGAAAGGTCCCCAGCCTGTTGGCTTCACCCCCATGACATACCACAAAATCTCATCGCATGGAAGTTGCCAAAGGAAGGAAATAATTATTACTCAGTCCCAGCGAGTTATCTTACCATGTTATAACTCACTGGGGCAGAGTAAAGGTTATTTCCTTCCTTTGGCAACCCCTTGTTCTGGTTTATGGGCTTTTCCCAACTGCCCGGCTCACTGAAGTGGCAACAGGCTGAGTCAGAAGAGCAGCTGTTACTGGTTCAGGAGGGCAAAGGGAGGTCAGCATTCAGTGACGGGTAAAGTGTAAGCAAAATATCGAATGTTTCCCCCCCGTGGAGTACTACAGCTTTCTGGGGCTTATCACTTGCAGTCCATAGCGGGGCTGAACCCAGAGCGGGATTCAGAATAATAGCTTTCCACCAGATGCTGCTCCCACATTAAGCGTCGAAGGAGGGTGGAGAGCATCGCTCAGAGAGCAGTCCCCTGCTATAATTCTCCCCAGAATGATGGGCCACGGATTCCTCCCTCCTGACTACCTCATTTTCAGGATGGTCCAACCTGCAGACGCATCTTGGCCTGTCTATGCAACTGACAGATGTTTCAGCCGACCGTGCCCTCCCTCGATTCATTTTTGTGCTGATTTCAGACGGCCTTGGCTACATGTTCATAATGTCAATACATGAATAATTCCCCCGCCCTGTCTCCACCACCCACATCTGGCTGCCCCTGACCCTTTTTTAGAAACAGATGTGCTCGTAGGGGCCTTGATTCCATGAACTCTCTTTGCTGCCTTTCTGTGTTGTAGGCCTTCCGTGCTTTTCAGCTTTTAGCCTCATCGATACCGAGGCTCCTGTGATTTTCCATGGTGAGAAAGCTGACCAGTTTGGCTATCGCGTTGTCCAGACGAAATCCGGTGGCACTTCCTGGTGAGCATGGAGCTGACTACGTTAAGAACATTCAGTTCTGTTTTGCTCAAGTGATCCGCATGTCTGGAAATATTAATTCTAAAATAATATTTAATATTTAAATATTAATTCTAAAACATTAATTATTATCTCTTTAGGTTGGTAGCGAGCGCTCCCCTTGCTGGCAATCGGACAGGTTCCCTTTTCCGATGCTCATACGATACACAGAAATGCCAACCAATTGTCCTCCACCGTAAGTGTAAACTAAAAATCATTTGCCAATCTCCCATGTGTTGATTGTTTTTCATTTTATCTTAAGAAAAGAGAATTTCTTGGGGTATACTGACATTACAAGCTTAAACTAGTTTTATATAAGTTACTGAGTTCACATAGTTCTCTAAGCCATAATACAGTTTTGATTTTTGTTAGCATGTTACATGTACCTAGCCATTTTAGTTTATATATTATGATTTGTAGCTTGGCAGGTCTATGAACCCAGTTAATAGTGATTTGTCAACAAACCATGATTAAAAAAACATGAATTATTGCCATTTGGGAATCTACTCTAATTTTAATCTTGGGAATTGTATTTTAGGAGATTATTCTGTTAGGAATCCAAGTCTAGTTTTCCTCGATGTCCTTTAAGGACAGGGAACGATTGCCATACGATCTTATGGTGGGAGTAAATTTCAAAGAATAAGAAAGGCTAGATGCTTCCATAGGGAATAGAACACTATGGTTTTTATCACTTTTACATCTTCCCGTGCTATTTATTAATATTTATTTATTTTATTATTTCTGTTTTTATTTTTTGGTACTTTCGCTACCTTTGTAATCTACTTGCAGAATGTCAGTTGTTGGACAGATTAGAAATATAATAATAAAACCATTTTTAAAAGTGCACTCTTAGTCATTAGCATTTGATTTGAGCGATTCCTGACACAGAAGCACTTGCTTCTGCTGTGGACGCCCCTTCCAAAACTCCTTAGCCAGGCAAAGTTGCAGGATGCATTTGAGCCACAAATAAGACCAACAAAATCCATTGTGAGATATTCTAAAAAAAAAGAAAAAAGGCTACCTTGATTAGGTATGTGTGTGTGAAAGAGATAAGTCTGTGAAATAGTTTTTTTAAATTTTTTTAAATTCTTTAAATTTATTTATTTTTATTCATCTAATTTTTTTAATCTGTCCTTTCAAATGCCGAAGACACTTCTGGAATATCTTTGGGTCTTTCGCTGGCTGCTGATGAAGCATCTGAATCCAAAATAATAGTAAGTAAGACTCAAATAGAATTAAAAAGGACAATAGAAGTATAATAAAAAAAAACTCTGACTCCGCTGAAGATCCCAAGAGGCTATTTGTGCATTCTTCCTATCCCATAGGCCTGTGGTCCAACTTGGGAACGACGATGTGGGCAGCTTGATTATCTGAATGGCATCTGCTATATTCTGAATAGCTTTGGTCAAGATGTGAAGGAGATCCAGCCAGCTTTCCAAGGTTAGAAGAGAAGAACACGTTTGCACATTAGGTGTGAAAGTTAGATTGTGCCAAGATCTTTCTACTTGAGACAGGACAAAAGTGGTATTCATCTCTTTCACAAGACCAGTCAAGGCAGAACATTCTGCAAGGAAATCTTCTCCTTGACAGTAAAAATGCAACTAGAGCAAATTAAATAATTATTGGTGACCCCTTGTGACACCCACAATCTATTACTAGAGGCAACTGCCTCACTCTGGTTCCTGGTGAGCCAGCCATGGCAAGAAATCGGGTTGGGGTGTAGTCAAGGAGAAAAAGGAGATGAAGTATACATGCAGTTCTGCTTAAACAAAGATTGCTTCATATTCTTCCTTGATGTCTATCTAAGTGTGGTATATTTGGCCTTTCAAATGTTCACAGACTACAACTCCCAGCATTCACAATGCTGCCTGGGGCTACTGGAAGGTGTTAGAAATGTACCTTGTGGTGTTTAAGTGTTTTCTCAGAGGTAGAAATCCAGTACAAGATCTCTTCACCATTGATGCATGTCCTTCCAAGAAAAGCATGCCACAATTTTGTTTTTTTGCATGACTGGAAGGAATCGAGTGGCTGTTGAAGCCCAGAATTGGAAATTTTACATCAGTCTTCGCCAGTCATATATTCTCCATATATAGTGGACTTAAGTTTCCATGATGCTTCAATCAGGCTGCCTTTGGTTAACCTTAGGGGCATCATGCATAGATTACCTGGGAGAATTGTGGTACATCCCTCCAGGCTGTGTGCTTGGATGGGAATGGCTTGCAGGAATGTAATTATGAGTTAGGAGGGTGGAAGATAAAATATTCCTTCACTATAGAGGTAATTGACCCATATAATAACCTTGATATGAGCTAACATTGATGTTAGCTTCCACTTGGGAAGTAGTTACAGGTAATCCTCAGTTTAAGAATGAGCTCCATTCCCAAAGTCTGTCCTTGTCAGATTTATACATAAGCCGGAACAGTATTATTGTATAATACTGTATAAGTAGTATTGTGTAATTAACTCAAACCATTGCGTATTTAACTCAAATCATTGGGTATTTAACTCGAATTTTGCCTTAATAGGCTCCGTTCTTAACTACTGGTCATCCTTAACCCGGGTGTTCTTAAGTTGAGGACTACCTGTATTGGGAAGGATTAAATATAAACACATGTTTTATGTAACATTTCCCTTATATTTTGCTACCAAGCAGATATATTAATTTTGTTTGTAGTGAGGGAAAAATAGGAGAAACATGGGAAAATTTTCTCACCAAAGTCTGCTAGCTTGCTAAGTAGCACCAGGGTCATACAATCTCTCCTGCCTCTTGTCCATCCAGAGTGCATATTTGGTGTGGATGCTGTGATTTTATATGATGATTCTGGGAGCATTCGCAACTCTGACTTCCACATCATGCAGAACTTCTTCCTGAAGCTGATGGACTCTGTGACTGGGGTGGATGTGCAGGTGAGAGCAAGATGATTTCAGGGATGCAGGGCACATGGCTGATAATTTTGACTGGTTTATGGAACAACTGCATGCTGGCTTCATCTAAGTTTTGGTTGAGGGCTGTTTTATGCAACCAAACATTGGCTAGTTACGTTCTGAGCCCAAATCTGAAGGTTAGTTTTTAAAGCCATCCGGGCCTAATCTCCAATCACGTTTCCTCTGTGTGCGTGCATGTGCATGTGCACGTGTGTGTGTTCTAATTGAAACCTCCTATACTCCACCCTCTCTTTGGAGGATGTGGTTAGGGCCAGTCCGTTGCACAACTTTGATTCTTTGCTACTTATTGTGGTGGTGACTTACCATGTTGCCTTTCTACATTTGGCATTGCATCCTGGAGATGATGTGAATGGTAGTCCAACACATCTAGTGGATTGAGGCATACTTGTCTACAGGATTTCCTATGTGGTAATATTTTTAACAGTTGCAGGCTGCAAGAAGAAAGGGGAGGCATGACTACTGGAAAACTGCCAGAGTTCCCCCAAACGTTGTCAGTGTGGATCTATAAATCCCATAATAGGTGCAGGAGGACCAGAGGTTGTATCACTGATGTCACTAAATATCATTTTTAAAGGGTGCTAGGTCTACATTAGACAAAAAGGGAACTTACTACATTTTTAGTCTTAACTGCTAAGTCAATAAATACTCAAAATTAGACATTCTTTGTTAATTTGTCATTGGACAATTGGTGCACTAAGGTCACTGATTAAATTTTTATATTAAATTCACAGAGGGATAAATCAGGTTTTTATTGGATCTGAAGGAAAGTATATGTGATGTTAATAACAATAGCTGTAATTTTGACACATCTAAGGATATATGGGAACTATAACTGAATTCTGAGATACACTGTTTTTGGTTGTTATCTTCTTGTTTCTTTCTTGTCTTATGTAATGTTAAAATGTAAATAATATATATATGTGTGTGTGTGTGTGTGTGTGTGTGTGTGTATACACATACATACATATCTTTTTTTCTCTTTCCATCCCCAGTTTGCTGTGGTTCAGTACTCCACTGAACCCTACCTTGTTTTTGATTTCACATTTTATAATAAAACTAGAGAGCGGGTAAAAGAAGTTATCCTCAATACTGTTCGTACCCGAGGAAACACCTACACTCCTACTGCTATTCGCTTTGTGGTGTGAGTACCAGGGAAGGGAGCGGGGAAGAGAGAAGTCTCCCATTGGCCCTGCAGACCCACTCAGTTGTGGTTCTCCTTACAGAGAGAAGGTCTTCACAGCAAAACATGGCATGCGCCCTCACAGCAAGAAACTCCTCATTGTCCTGACAGATGGCATCTCCAATGACCAAATGAACACATTTGAAAACACAACAGAAGCTGCCAGCAAGAAAGGGATAATCCGCTATGCCATTGGGGTATGCAGGGAAATAGTGTGGGACAGTGGTTCTAGATCAATGTTTCCCAATCTTGACAATTTCCAGGTGTGTGGGCTTCAACTCCCAGAATTCTCATCACCAGCCATGCTGGCTGTGGACTTCAGATCCCAGAATCCAACAACTAACATGGCCATTGGGGAACATTCTGGGAGCTGAAGTCCACATATTTGGAAGTTGCCAAGGTTGGAAACACTGCTCTAGGTGGACTGCAAGCAGGGACTTGTGGGTATTTGTAATGGCACCATACAGACAGAGACAGGAGTTCTCTAGTTGCTGAAGCTATCTGGTCAAGTTCTGATTTTATTAAAAAAGAAACATTGAGCATTCTTGTCTACAAAGGGAGGCTGGGAGTGTTTACAGAACATTGGGCAAAAACTTACCAACCTCAGGAGCTTTTTCAAAAGATCCAAGCCAATATTGCACGACCTGATGCTCTCCAACTGTTTTGCCACTCCTTGTTGATGATTCTAGGAGCTGAAATCTATTTGGAGAGCATCCGGTTGGGGAAAGTTGGTTTAAGAACGTAGGAAGCTCAAGAGCTTCTTTAAAGGACCAGTCTTGTAGGAAAGTCTCCCAGATCAGAGATGGCTCAAGAGTCAAAGTGCATAGGACTTGATACAAGTGAAGTTATTTTGGCAGCCGAAGGAGAAAATGGCAGAATTCACAGATTCTGCTAAGCCAAAACCAAACAAGTCATGTGTTGCTTTAGCAAGATGTGAATCCAGGTTCTTACAAATGACAGCTTATGACAGGAGTACAAAAATTGTGGTCCAGGAGCTGCTTGTGGCCCACCAACATCTCTTCTGTTGGTGAAACAGTGGTCAAATGTTTCAACACTTTTTTGTTTTGATTTCTTGGAGTTTGTGGAGAAGAGATTTAGGGGCAATTTCACTCCTTGAAACCTCTGAAATATCCCCCCAGATTGGATCCTGTCACCATCCACTTTTGGAGGATGGCCCTTGATATGCTGCACAAAGCATGGTGTGTCCCTCAAGCCTGTGGAAGTGATGTGCTCCTGGTTTATGGCTTAGCATGTTCTGTGAATCCAACCATTGTGGTGTGTTCAGCAAACCTTGGTTCAATCAAACCATGGCTTAGTACAAAGGGAGAATCCACCCATCTTCACCCACATTTGTCCATCATTAGGCAGGACGTTTATAGCAAAAGTAGCTCTTTTTTTAAGTTATAAGTCCAAAAGCAAGATAAAAATGTTTCTGCTGCATTCTGCTTGATTTCTGACTTACACAAGGAAGACTATGGGAACAATATATCGGTAGATTCATTGGAAGTCAATTGCAAGACTGTGTAACATCCTGGATGAAATTGGCCTCATTGGCAGCTAGAAAGGAAAGGGAACGTGGAGTTCCAGAAATTTAGTACAAATTTCTTCACATTATCCAATGCATCTCTCTCCCTCTCTCCCTCTTGTATGTATCAGGTTGGTCGGGATTTCTTGACGGCTCAAGATGAGCTGCGCAAAATTGCTTCATCAAATGAAAATGTCTTTCCTGTGGCAAGTTTTGAGGGACTTGATCAGCTTCAGAAACAGCTGAAAGATAAGATCTTTGCTATTGAAGGTTTGAAATCAAGTCTCAACCCTTTTCCAATTACTCACTCTCTTTGTGGTGCTCTTCCAAGGGTGATTAATTTTTTTAATTCCCAAATTTTCTTTTACTGGCAAGCTCATGGAAGCACTAATCTTTTGGGGTTTGGACATTCTTCTGTTCCTTGCAAAAATAATGGTGAATGTGCAGTTATTCTAGTGCAGTGTTTTTCAACCTTGACCACATTAAGATGTGTGGACTTCAAATCCCAGAATTCCCCAGCCAGCATGGGAATTCTGGGATTTAAAGTCCACACATCTTAGAGTTGTCAAGGTTAAGAAACACTGCTATAGTGGATATGATCTTTACTTGCAGCTGTAAGCAGCTGGATGCTAGAGAGCTCACATAACTCCAAAGAATTACCTGTATGTCAAAACCAAAACTAAGAAGGATGAAAAAAGAGGATCAGTTGGAGATATCAAAACGTTTCTATTTAAAACGTTTCTATTTAAAAATAATTCCTATTTATTAGTTAACGGAATATAAGAGCATGCCTGACCTTCCATGCGATGAGAAAGCATAGCCTCTCAAGCTGAGATAGATGTTACTGGGCGGAGAGCCAAGTTTGTGGTGTGGTGCTGCAGCCCTGTTTTCCTTTTCTACATATATCATGACACCCCACACGTGCTTCAAAGCAGCAGAGCTTGTAGATGCTGCTGGTGCCCTCGAAAACTGCATAGATCTATTGCATGGTTTATAAAGGACAACGTGCAAGTACGGTTCACAATCTTACTTCATTCCATGATTCTGGTCGCGACCCAAATCAAATTTCCCCATAAGGTTCAATATAAATAAGGTTAATCCATTCTGACCCCTATGAACGTGGTCACCAACCGAATTGATCGCCAACCGAATCAAATTTTCCCATAAGGTTCAACGTAAGTAAGGTTAATCCATTCTGACCCCTATGAACGTGGTCACCAACTGAATTGATCATCAACCGAATCAAATTTCCCCATAAGGTTCAATGTAAGTAAGGTTAATCCATTCTGACCCCTACAAATGTGGTTGCCAACTGAATTGATCGCCAACCGAATCAAATTTCCCCATAAGGTTCAATGTAAGTAAGGTTAATCCATTCTGACCCCTACAAATGTGGTTGCCAACTGAATTGATCGC